TTGCAAACAAAATGGACCCACACAGAAACAAGCATTTCAATTGAAAATATTTTTCTCTGTAAAAAAAATTTGTTTCCAATTTGATGGATTTGAAATGAAGATGAAGGATGATGATGATGATGATGAATGCAGTATCATGATGATAAACTAGCATCCTCTCTGGGATTGTTATTAGTACAATATCATATTGTGTAATAAGTTAATCTCATTGCAATTTAACTTACATCTTGTTAACCTTATTCTGTTGCTGCTCATCTGATTGGTGATAATAATGCAGGAATTGTTATCATAATATAATCACATGTGAGAGAGGGAGAGAGAGAGAGGCAATAGTTTGATTGACAGTCAATTATCACATCAAAACACAGACACTTATACACACATATGATGATATTATCATCATATTATTTTAATATGTATATTTTGCAGGGCAAGAAGCAGATGATTGTGAATGAACAATGAATCAAAGAAGAGGATGAAAAATAGTGACCATTGAGTAGCCATTTGATTGACAGTGGGGATAATTATTTGGTCTCTTGAAACTCTGAAACAACAGAGACCAGATAATGTCCAAGAATAGCCAATGAAAGTCCAATTCATTTATCATCAAATAAACATGAATTGGACAGAGTTACAATTAGTATATAAAAGTTTCCAAATGAATCAATGAAATTTTCAGCATCTAAGTAACTGAATCATGAAAAAAAAATAGTAAGTTCATCAACTATTAATACTCAAAGTTTTGTAAAAATCAATTGATTACAACATGTTAAGATTAATGTCAATATCCTCAATGGGAATTGGTTTAAGTGACCATGTTTCCTAATCAAATGGTCAAACTATTTTTAATCATGACCATGAGATTGATTCAGATATTCCCATGATAATGAATATATAATAATGATCTTGAGCTTATATCCTTTGTATTACACAGCCTGAATAAAGTTCATAGTTGTGAGTTTCAATTTTTATTTCTTCCAAGAAAAAATCAACTGATACAAAATGGATGATGCTACATGAATTCTGTATTCACTGAATACACATTAACCCTGAATCTCACTTAATTTCTTATTCTTTTTAATAATTAATGGTAATGATGTTTGACATTGTTAATTTAAAGTTATTAACCCACACAATGAATTCACATTGAAACGTATAAATTAATATTCAGTCAATGTATAACAATGTGTTGGTCTGAGTATAAAATGAATCTCATGTTACCATGGTGAAAAAGAGGATCCATCTTATTCTGGGTTCATGATGAAATCTGATTCTGAGTTTAAGTCAACTGATTGTTATATGTAGTAAAAGATGATGATAAGGATGATAATGATGATGAGGATAAAGACATAGGGGAGAAGAGGAAGAGAGAGAGAGTGAGAGTAATGAAAGAGAAGGAAAAATTCATGTTATGTAAGATATTTTCAGGGGAACAAAGGAAATCCTTACAGATTGTTATTCGGTAGTAGAGGTTACTGAAAATTCTGATTCCATTGTAACAGTTGATTCATTTTCTTTCATTTCTTCAGGGATAAATACTGTTTCTTTTTTATCCTTCTCTTTATAACAATATAAGAATAACAATCATTTCGTATTTGATAGTAATTAACAAACAAATAAACAAAATGAATCAACACAAAGAGAAATTAAATTAACGGAGTAACAATTTTAATCCAATAAAAATAATCAATTGGATTCAACACTTTCAAATGACAACCAAGACTGATTGAAATTGTCAAATTAATGGTAATCCAATTGGATGATCAAAGTTGACAATCACTTTAATGATAATAATACTTTAAACTGAATCAAGTTGAATCAAGCTGCAAGTTTAATTTGCATAACAATTTAATTTATTTTTGCATAATAATTTTTAATATCACCATCGTATCATATTGAATCTGCTCTCTAATGTTAATACAGTTTATTGATTATATCATTTTCTCATCATCTTTTTCTTGATAATTGTTGATATATTACAAAAGTTTCCATTTGTTTACTTTTAATATTGAATTAATATTAATAGTTCCCGCGGGAGGATGAGAGAGAGAGAGAGAGAGAGAGTTACCTTCAGGGTGGGGTGGGTAATGTTATCTGAATGTGTGGTTAACCGTAGCAGAGGTAGAAACCCACTTTACATATTCATGTATTCAACGGTTTAATTATTGTATCATTTATGTATTTACCTGAATTTCAAAATAACAATAGGAGGAGGATGGAGATGAGGAGGGTCCAGGTAATTAATATGAGTAACGACAACAATTAGGCATCATTATTATTGGTATACGATTAAGGTGAATGACAATCAGCCCATTGATTTGGTTACAAATTCAACTAATATCATCATAGGCCTACTAATGGTTATTTTGATAATTATGTAAATGATAATCATATTTAACTAGATTAACCAATTGTGTCAATTAACCAACCATGAAAATTTAAATTATCTCATCTATCATGTATGTTTGTTGCTGTTATTGTTGATTGTAACCCTTTTCCTTAATTGTTTGTTTAATTTTAAGATTATATTATAATATGAAACAAATAGAAATGAATTAATCATAATCATCATTGATTATCTTGGTGATCAACTTGAACAAATTGATATAATTATGATTGTTGATTTCTAAGAATATGAAGAAAAAAAAATTTAATTGTGCTCTCACCTTGATTCGGTTGGTTGTTAATCTTAATTGTGTGAAGACAATTGTAATTTTGTAAACAATTAGAATCTCGAGAAAAAAAATTAGTTTTAATTTCAATTGTTGATTAAAAATTTGAATTTTAAATTATTGTAATCCTTTTACACGTTGACAGCAATTTAGAAACATTTAAGGTTAAACTTATGATAATTACAGGAAGCACAACAATTAGTGTTCACAATTTAATACCATTGGTCCGTATCAAGACCTCATCATATTTAATTGTCAACAAAGATGATGAATTTAAATTGTACTAGTTGATTACAATTTGACCGGATCGAAGTAATTAAACTAATCATCTTCAAATTATTGCAAAGTTTTCAAAGAGAAACCATTGAACCAATGATCAGTTGAAAATTTAAGAAAATTAACTAATTGCCATGGGAGTGTTTTGGTGATTTTAGAATATTCGAAATGAAAAGTTCTATTCTTTTTCCCTTCAGTTAATCATCGTTTTCATGGTGAACACGCGAGTACCAAGAACACGAGATATTTACAGTTCCCTATTAACTAATAACTCGATGATTTAAGTCAACTCAGCAAGACACATTTAGCATCCTCATCTTCATCATCTTCTTCTGGTTCATTGATAAAAGCATCATCATCTTCTTGTTTCACTTTTCTTTGAAAACTTCTATTTTGACCTAAACTTTTTTCTCGAATCTGTTTTCTCCTTGTTTATTTAGATTCTCAATTCTTGGCATTTTATTTATACTTAAGTCAAAATTTATTACTCAAAACATGTTGGTTAACAATCAACAAACATACTCACACACACACGGAGAGAGGTTGAGATAATTTAACTTAACCACAATCAGTTAATTGTTATTTTTATTATTGACTGACTTGTGAGGCGAAAATCATAATTGAAGTTAATCAAAAAGCTGAAGAAATTGTTTTTCCTCCTTAACAATGTTTTTCCATTTCATTTGTAAATTGTTTGTGTGTGAATTTGAATTGGACAAAAGTTGAGTTAATTATTTGGAATTGTTTAGATTAATTTGATTAGATGGAACATCAAGTATTATAATGAGAGTAACTGTGTGTTGTTAATTGTTTGGAACCAGAAGAAAAAAAAGTGAAACATAAATTGTTGGAAACTTTTTGATTACTGTTTAGATAATTTTTCTGTTAATTCTTTCTATTGAATTGGAGTAAAAATTAATTAATCAACTAATTAATCAACGATGGAAAAATGGACAAGATTAATTACTGTCTAACGGGAAAACTGACCAGAACAAATTGATGGGAAGATGAAATGTGAGATAGAAATGGAATCACAATCAACTGATCATTATAATCATTTGTTTATATTGTTTTTTATCAGCTGAAAGTGATGAGATAATGAGACTTGTTATGATTACATTTAGATGACAAATATAATCAACAAATTGAAAAACTCAAATCAAAAGCAACGGTCAAGCAAAGGTCACTTTCTGTCCAGAGTAGAGTAAAAATCTCAAGATGAAATATGTAAGGAGGAGGATGGAGGATAAAGATGATGAAGATGCGACAAAAATGCAATCAACTGACAGAAGCAAAGAAGTGGTAAGTTTATATTACACCCCGTAAGTTGATGCTCCTTACGAGGCCAAAGTACAGTATGACATTCAAGACCATTTAAAGGTGTGTCCATCATCATCATCATCACGATCATCATCATCTTACAAACATCAAGTAAACACACAGGACAATGTATCGTGTAACCATATGGGCTTATGCAAAGTCCCAATGACAAGATACATTATCTTCCCATTGATAACACACATGAAGATGAATATCATCCTCATCATTACCAAGATAGTTATGCATTGTTTGGTTGGGATGATAATTTTTTGGCTAATTTTTTGGTTAATTATGCAAAGAAACAAAAAACTTTGATCCTGGTTCAAGATTAGGATTAAGGTTTCAATTTTGTCAACTCAGCGAAAAGATTAACCAACTTGATAAACAGAAAAGAAAAGTTTTTCTAACAAAATGTGACAAAGTTTATGGTGGAAAAAAAGTTCTGATTCAATAAAGTTGAGCCTTTTTTTGCCTCTTCATGAGATGGAAAAATTTGACAGATGATTTAGAACCGCAACTGACCAATGGTCAGTGGATAATTTGGAAACAAGAGAAAGTTTTTTTTTCTTTCTGTCAAAATCGAGACAAAGATTGATTGTAAAAGTGAATTTTTTGTGACAAAAAGCAATGAAAAAAATATAATTGATTGAAACCAGATCACAATTTACTAATTGTGATACAGTTATAATGATGATGATGATGATTAGAGAGAAACAATCAAATTGTATTTACCTTTTGATGACAATCAGTTAACTGTGATAGAAAATTTCGTAACCTTGTCAACTCATTTTCTTTATCAACAATTAAATTGTGATAAAATTGTTCCGATTCTTGATTAGATTTAATTAACTGGTTCACTTTATCCTCGAGGCGATTAACTTCATTTGTTAGATAATCCTTTTCATTGATTAGTTTTTCCATGACACTTATAATCACAATTAGATTTTTGATAGTCAATAGATTCAATTGATAACCAATAGTCTAGAAATTGTTTCTTAACAATTAAAAAAACACACAACTTGAGAAGACACAGAAAAGATAATCAAACAAATAATATCTCAGATCGTTGATTGTTACAATTAACGATGAACATTTTTCTCTCATCTTTTGACTATTGTGGTAAATTGTCTCGAGATGTTTAAGTGATGAAACCAGCAATTCAAATGATAATCATGCTCATAGAAAGTAAACTTTTTTCCCGATTGAGTTAAGTTATCGATCCACAGAGCCATCTATTGAATCATTGCTGAAAGAATCATTGACGCTAGAACACAATATTGAACTTAAATGTGAACAATTATTTCATTTTACTTTTTTTCCAAATTAATTTAACCTGGAAAATGAGAGCCATAGAAAAAGAAAGAGAATGAAAGAAAGAAAGAGTAAAAGAAATGTAAACAAATACATCGAATACATTTAGAATCATATTGTGGCCATTGTTTGAAGTATTAATATTAAATATTCAATATATTAATCAATATGATAATAACATGATCAATTGATTTGATTGAATTTGATTTATTGATTAAATTTAGAGAGAGACTGTGGGGAAGAAAAAAAAATGATATAAAAGAATTAGAGAAAAGAGACAATCATCAGTGTTAATCCTACGAGTGAAAATGCCTTCTAAAATAGGATGACTAATTAGCAGACGAACGTAAGATTTGGACTCATACATTATTAACTTGACCCCAAGGACTTCTTCCATGGTCCATTGATGCTGAAATGTGCTTGGTGTGTGACATTTGAACTGTTCAAGGTCATTATTCCAATCAAAAAGAATATTCTCCGATCGGTGAAATATTGTAGATAGAACCTGTCTTTGGTGTGGGTTCAAAGAAGCACAAGTTGAAGACATTTGAAAGAAAAAATACATACACTGTTTAGTGTTTTGGTAGATATTAGTTAGTAGTAACATCCAATGGAATTTGATTAAGAGATTTAATCCGGAGAACGATGGTTTGTGGTTAGGTTAGGTTAGGTATTAATCAAGTGGGCCGATATATTGATCGTGAACAGGAAATCAGTTAATTTGATTTAATTTTGGCTTATTGATTCAAACTGGGATCGTGTGATAATTTTTTGTTCTTCTTTTCAAAAAACCTTCACGATGACCTCTAGGTAGGTGCATCGTGAAACGACCTTTATGACCTTGAAACTTTATAAACGATAAACTTTTAGATGCTGAGGAACGAAAGATTCTGGAGCCATATATCATTGCCTTGACCCCAATGGACAACATAGATGTACCGAATTTGGCTACACAGATCAACGAAAGGAGATCCGCTGACCGATGGTTTGTGACAATTAATCAAGTGGGCCGATATATTGATCGTGAACAGGAAATTAGTTAATTTGATTTAATTCAGAGAGTAAAAACCAAGAGAGCAAAGGAGTGCAAAAACTATGAAGCAACATTTTTTTTTGGTGTCGCGAGGATTTCAATTGAAAAATCAAACCATTATAATTGATTATTGTTAATTGAAAAATTTTAAAGAAAAGCTGAAAAAAATGTAAAAGGTTAATACAAAAAATTGTATAAAAAAGGTCCTTACTTTCTAATTTAATAATAAATAATCTTTAAATCTTTAAAACCTGGATAATTAGGAGAAAAGAAAAGAAAAATTAATTAATGTTAATTTATTGTTTGTTAGTGTGTTTGTGAGGTTTTTCTCTTTCTTTTCTTTCTCTTTACAGATCTACTAGTGGCTTTACCTCGCGACACCAAAAAAAATGTTGCTTCATAGTTTTTCTGTTATGTGCTGTCTCTTTCTCTCTACTCTCTGATTTAATTTGTGTTTTTTTCTAACAATTAAAGTGGCACAACGGGAATCAGTTAAAATAAATATCTATGTGTATATAAAAAAGAGGTACAAATATTGTATCATTTGGAGTTAATTTTATAATCATTATAATTAAATTAAATGTCCTCAGTTCCATTGATTAGCAATTGCTCTGTTTCCATAAGGTGTTCAGTTGATTGAGATGCTCGTTTATCGGTAACTGATAGAGAGAGAGAAAAATAAGAAAGAGAAAGAGAGAAATTAGTTAATATAAAAAATTAGTTAATTTGATTTAATTTGTGTTTTTTTTTCTAACAATTAAGGTGGCACAACGGGAATCAGTTAACAATAAATATCTATGTGTATATAAAAAAAGAAGTACAAATATTGTATCATTTGGAGTAAATTTTACAAGTTGTTTGTAAATCGATATTCCTTTCAATTGGTTTTTTCTCAAGAACGTATTTCTGATGACGAGGATGAATGTATCGATGATGATATTTCTCACCTTTGACCATTTCACGTGCACGTATATAAACATGAAGTGAAATTCCGGTTAAACAAACAGCTAATCCGATTGCATTGAATCTGCTGATTTCATCACGAGAATATTCAATTGCAATGTATAAGGTGAATACTTCCTTGAATATACCAGCAATCGAAAGGGTTAAACTTGAGGTGTATGTTATCAACAGGTATTCACTCAATTCCATGAGAAATGCTAAAAATGAACCAATCAATATGTAAATGAAGGAATAGGTGTTAAAAAAGACGGCAAATCCATCGCTACTGGTCATTAATGGTAAGGCTTCAAAGGTAAAGGTAAATGGTAACAGGGAAAGTATCATCAAGGTTGAACATGGTACATCATGTCTACGAGATTACTCAGACCTGTAAATGATTATATAAAAAAGAGAAACAATGTTATTCTGGCAGCATGGTGATTAGATGAATATCAGATGAGGTTTCACTTGAAGACAATTCAAATTAAAATAAATCAGGTAAAGAGAGAGATGTAATCAAATACATCGAATACACTTAGAATCATATTGTGGCCATTGTTTGAAGTATTTATAATTATCGAAAAGCAGAAGAGAAAAGAACAAGAAAGAAGAGGGAAGATGGAAGAGGGAAGAGAGCATAATTGCTTCGAAAACGGAAAAGGAAAAACAGGTAAATGCTAGGGAATTAGAATTGGTCAGTTCTTTGTGACCATTCAAACAAGTTGTTCTTTTATTGTGACAGTTTCCATCTTTTTGAATTTTAATAAATTGTGAATGAAAATGAATAAGAATTTAGTTTGTGCTCTTCTCATCAACGCTACTCTTTGTTTAATGATTCTTCTTTCATATTCGATTTCAGATCATTTCGAGCTTAATTCTGAGTCGGAAGAAAGTTATGATTGGCAATTTTTTCGTGTAAATATGAAAACTCATAAAAGGCCAATAAATAAAATTGTCAAACATAATTACAGTCGATCCGGAACTAAATACTATTGGGATACAGAGCATTGTGATTTGTCGCTTATGGATGATGTTTCCAATCAAATATCATCATGGTTGATCTTAACTGGATCAGTAGCAAATAGGATCGGTAGACTTCATGATATTGTATTGGCTTCACTTTATCCTGAGCATTTATCCAAAATTGGACTACCTGATGAATCCGAAAAATCAAATCACTTGTCTAATAATTATCGTCTTCACTCTGGAGTTGATGATCAAGTTTCGGGTCTTACCGGGACTCGTTATTTCGATTACATTGAATCATATGAACATTCGAAAATATCAACACAACAAATTGCATTAGAATTTCATGGAGAACTTCAAACTATTGATTATGTGAATCGCGATTTAACTCTAGTTTGGTTTGAGACAAAATCTAGAGCATTTATTTCAGAAAATCATTTGGTTCTCATTTCATGGAACGAGGTGAGTATTCAAAAGCGAAACACTTTACAACGTTTAAGACTTCGAGATACTTTGGAAAGAGAAACATCAGTGACACATAAAAGTCGAAGAGGGAAGTAGTTTATCGATCACCGACATTAGTCTTTTGGCAGCCGATCGATAGTTCAAGAGGAGCCCCGACTATTCTGATCTATTAGAATGTGCAAATTCATTCTCTCTTGTGATGATGATTATTATTACAACACTTTTAGTTGAAATCACGAAAAATGGACTAACTGGACATTCAAAATGAGATAATTAATTGAAGAGTAATTGATGTTTACAATACAATATTGAACTTTAATGTGAACAATTTTTTCATTTTATCAATTGGATTTTTTTTTCAATGAAATTAAATTAATTTAACTTGGGTCTTTTGATTACACGATTGATTTTTCCTCTTCTGAAATCTCGTTTCCTTTTCCTGTTCTCTTTCCATGATAAGTGTTTCTTTGCTTTTTTCTTCATCGCCAACACAGGATTAATCAAGAATTGAACTGCTTGTGTCGCTTTACGTTCAGTCTTTTTACGATTGTGCAAAGTAACAACTTCGGCATAAGTTTTACTGAAAACTTCACTTCCGACTTTGTTTCTGATCACTTCGTAAAGAGCTAAACATGAATTGACCAGAATTTGTTTCGGATGATCTTCCTCATACCGTCCAGCCTCTTTTAAATTACGATTGGTGATTTCTCGAGCTAAAGGAATCAATAAATTACGACAATTACTCTGGATGATCGGAGTATCGGCTTCAACCACTATGGCAGCGATCCACTTGAAGATTGAAATTCGAGCTTGAAGTTCATGAGGTGATTTTTTAACCTCTCGTTTGATTTCCCTGATTAAACGATTTGTTAACCAGTTGATGTTCAATTTACTGAGATAATTTTCATCAACAACTTTAGTTTCAACCTTGACTGGTGATTTGACGATTGACTTTTTTGACTTTTTCTTCTTTGGTTCATTTTCATCGATGACAATTGAATTTCCATTTTGAAGTTCCTCAACTGGAGTTATCTTGAAATCTTTTGGTAATTTCAATAATACTCTAGAAATGTAGTGTAAATTTTTAATCAACAGGTCCCCAATTTCACTCGATTCGTAGATTATGCTGAACAAGAAGCAATGTTTCCTACATAGATTCCAGAGACGAAGAGGTAAATTATTGAAGAGGTAGAAAGAATTTGTTTTCCCGTTGATTAAATGATCGGCAACTTGAGTGACTGAGAAATTACTGAAAATACAGGCGATAATTTTCACAGATAAAATTCTGACCCAAATATGAGGATAAGTTAAATAATTGTTTTCAATACAAAGAGCTATTGAATTTAAATGGCCGATGAATTTGGGATCAGACATAATCTCAGGATCGTGTAACAAAATTTTCTGATAGAAAGACAACAGTTGAAACAATTGGTGATCATTGTTACGTTTAGAATCTTCGTCTTCTACATCAACAGGGAATCGAGTTGGATCAAGTTGTTGTACAAGAAGTGGTAAAATCTCAGGTAAACGAGAACGGAAATCGGATTTTTCGCATGAAACAAATATTCCAAACAATTGAGCGGCAAGACGTCGATGTAATTGATTGTTTGCTTGGAACCAAGGTAAAGTGATATTTTTCAATAAAATATCTCGAGCTCTTCTGGATATTTTGTTTAGTAATTTTTCGAGCACTGAGGCAGCCAATTCTCGACACTTGTAGGAATCATCGTTGATCAATCGCACTGATATTGGAATATAAAATGAGGCCGCATTGTCCGAAACCTGAGAGTTGTCTTGGTATTTGATGAGTGAGAAAAGTAACTTAAGGATGGAGGATCTTCCGATTTCTCGAGGATATTCAAGTTGACGAGTGAAGAAAGTAACATAATTGGTGAAATTTTCACCACCAAGCGAATAGTTGAGCAAATACTTTAACCAAACAAGTCGACACTCATCTCGAACATGATCATCGTCAGATTCCAACATGATGAAAGTTAACTTTTGAAGAATACTCTTGATTTCTGGTGATTCCATTTTCTTGGAAAGGATTGATTTAAGTAAAGAGAAGGCTGTTGATTGTCTTGTCCGATCAACCATATCTTTTTCCACATAGAACAGTAAAACTTTCAGCTGATCAGGTTTCAATTTAACAGAATCAATTGATCTTACAAATGATGAAATTGTCTTGAAGCACATTGTTACTAATTCAACGTTTTCCTTTGAATTGGTTCCTTGAGCTACAAATTCGTCTAAAAGTGTTAGAACGTTAGTTTTTATCCGTTCGATTGACGCAGCAAATGCGGGAAGATCAGGAAAAGCACGAACATATTGCATCAGGCACCGAAGCGATGTTGAGGTGAGTTTAACGTGTTTCGAGAAAAGTGAATCGATAAGAATGGGAACAAATTTACCAAGTTGTTCGGCTGCTTTGGTTTCGGGCCTTAGGCGATTTCTTTTAAACAACGACAATAACAATCGTAAACAATATTCAAATAAAACGTGAACATTTGAAAGTGGATTAATTTTAGTTGATTTTTTCTGTTTGTATTCGGGCACCAATAAGAGGGAATCCGTTTTGCTGATTTCGTCTTTTTTGGTCAACTTAGCCGGTCGAATCTTTAATTGTGGAATCTTGTCTTCCAGAACATCCAATATAAATTTAATCAATGATTCCTCAGGTATTCCAGTGTTTTCTGTTAATCCAAGGAAAAATTTCTCCATGCAAATAGTAACTTTGTTGATAACTTTCACAGACAAAGCTTCGTCCAGAATTTTTTTCATGGGCAACATGTTCTTAACCAAATGTTTCGATGAGACAAATTTACCAAGAATCCGATAAGCCGCATAACTTTTGATCTTTTTGGCCTCTTTGCACTTTGCAGTTATTTTACCAACTGACTTTTCCTCGGCAACATCGGTGAATAGTTCTTTGTGGAAAATTTCGATCAACAATGGAGCGGAAGCATCAAGATCACCAGGGCGCAAGGTGGTCGAAATTGATTCCAAGATGATGTAAATTGTAAAGGTTAACACGTGGAAACGAAAACCTTTATTGAGAATGGTTTTCATTTCGCTGAGCAAAAGTGGCAGGTAACGAGCACCAAGAATTCCCATTATTTTACATAAAATTTTCCTTGATGATTCACGAATACTTTCCATTCGTGATTTTAAAAAGTTGGACATTCGAATGAAAACATTTTTAACTTGATTCTCAAATGTTGATTCGGCGATTGGAACAGCATCAAGTAGCTTGACGATTGCTAAAGCTATTGGCATTCTTTGTATTTCGTCGTCATGATTGAATTCAGATCGTATATTATCGTACTCATAATCGGTGTAGGATAACTTGTAGAGTACTTCTTGTAGCTTTTGCACAATATCACCGACAATCGTGTCTTGAACTCGAGTGGCAACTTCAGGTGGTAATTTCTGCTTAGGAATCTCAATATTTTCTGAATCTCGAAGAGCAACTGCTTCTGGCACGTGTTTTCTTCCCTGCTTTTGATGAACGTAGTTGATTCACTGAGATCGTAATTGAAATTGGTCAAGATGGAACATAAAATTCGGACATTTGATTTATGATTCTCAGAGTCGGTGATGATTCGTTGAAGGTAAACACGCAGTAACTGTTGGTACAATGACCAAGGTAAATATCGACAAATCGAACCAATCAGATCAACAGCATAAGCTGAGGCTGCACCATATTTAGTTGCTTTCATGTCTGATATGAAAACGGTGGCGATCGGCAAAAGATAATCATGAAGGATTTGCGGTGAGAGTTGAGACAAAAGCTCATGATTATTACAAAGTTTTGCCAGAGCTCGAACTCTACGGTGCATTTGTATGTGGACGATGTTGGTCCAAAAATCTTGATCGATATCATCATGGCTAAGTAGAGATAGTTGATTCAATGATTGATCCTTTTCTTTCCCAAACTTTATAAGATCAGATAAAATGGTGATCCACTCGTGACGAGATCTTTCATCGGATTCTCTCATTCCATTCCTAACATGAACTCTGAAAATTAAAGATCGAACGATTTTATTGTATAGATCGAGATTATTACTTTCGCTGATCTTTTTGATGATTAAAGTTAAACAACTTGATGAAGCTTCACGAAGACCCAATTCCTCGGATGATGAGATGAAGAAAACACAGTTGTGAATGAAAACCTTCAACAGATTAACAGGAACTGTTGTTGAGTTCATCTCTTGGAACAATTTACGAGCCTTTGAAAATCCTTCTTCACGAACAGTGTAATCAGGCTCATCGGGGATTCGAGGATTATAAGCATTGATCATCACGATTATATCAACAAACTCCTGGAAACTTGATACTTTCTGTGCGATTGTTTTGAGTATTTTACAAAGTCCCAAACGAGAGTTACGCTCTTTTACAGTCTCGAAAAGAGGGCACAGCTTTTTGATGAATGTTTTGATATTTGTATCAACTTTTTCCACTAAATTATTGATTGATTCAAATGTTTTGATTGTAGTATCTTCGGCCTCATTGCGACTATGAATTATGGTGTCAATCAACAGGTTGGCCATAGTTAGACAATCGTTTTCATCCTTCACTTGTTCACTGAGATGAGACAAAATTGTCGCTTCGTTTTCTTGTATGATGCTCTCTCGGCTTCTTTTTTTAGCTTTCAGTCGATGAAGAAGATTATTCTTAATTCTCGATAGAATTTGTCTAATGTATGGAACCAGCATAACTGTTCCCAAATTAATGTCATCACTCTTTGTCTGATAAACTTCGAGGTAAGATTCATCTGCAATTCCGTTTACTTCTAAAAATGGAATTGGAGCTTCGTCCGTGTTTGCAGAGTTCGATGGTAGGTGATTAGCATATGATGCGAGATTTGCAAGCATCGCTGAAATGTAAGTAATGATGCTACTTGTGACTTTTCGTGCACTGTAAAGGTCAATTAAACAAGACAAGGGAGTGGATTCCGGTTGGTCACTATGTGTTTTCACAAAAGGATAAAATATCTTGGGACACAAGTCCAACATCGTAGCAATCGTAAAAGTGGTGACGGTGAAAATAAACTTTCATTGGACAAATTCAAGATCATTGGATCAATAAAAGTTCGAAAAGACCATCAATCTCTATGGGTGAGAATGAGTAAGACTCGAAAGATTTGAAAAATTTTTCCATCAACTTGAAACAATCAATTCTTATCGATTTCAAACGATTAACAGCACCGGTATTGAGAAGTAATCGTTGGTCAAGAAGAATTCGTGTAAATGCAGCAATTACAATTAAAATTTTGAAAAGAATTGGAAGTATATCATCAACAGTGTTTCCAAAATGGAGTAACATCATTTCTAATGTTTTCAGGGCACTTTGAACGTATCTAAGAGGAATGCACTTGTGAATGTCGATGTTTTTTAGAGTATCAGTGATTACGGGCAATTCCATATCGAAAAATGGAACGAAATCAGCGAAAGCTAATTTTAGGAACAACATGACTTCATCTTTATTGCACGAGGCAAGGAAACGGAAAACAATCGATCGTCGAGTGTCAATATTGGCCTTTCCCGCAGTTTTTGACCCTGTTTTCGATAACATTTTACCATATAAGATTCTCATCACAAAGGGAATCACAATCGGTCGATGTGCAGCTTTAACATGCTGTTGATCTGGATCAACTTCTTGTGATCCAAATAACAAGATTTCTGTTTTAAAAGTGTCATCATCAAGTAAACGGAATAAACTTTCACGATAAATTAAAATGTTTTGATCGTTGAAAGTCAATAGACAATTGAATGCAGCTTTTTGAACGACTGGATTGGGTTGTTTCAAAAGGGATTCATAAAGGTCCATTAATTTACCACTAGAGTCAATCTTTTTGGGATTTTTAAACTTGGCAAGTAGCTCGAGAAAAGCAGTCATTGTTTGCATGGTAACTTTAAGATCAGATTTAACAATTTTTGTTTCATTTTTTCATCTGGTTTGTCGTCATTATCATCAAGCTTTTCGTCCGTCATTTCGACATCGTCTTGATCGATTTCGTCTTCGTTACCATCAGCTTCCTTGGTGTCTGATTGTTTTTCAGTTGATTCTTCAGCAAGAGAAATATCTTCTTCTCTTTTAAAATCACCAACTCCTTTTGAATCTGCTTCTATCGTCAAAAAGTTGAAAAACCACCTAACGATTGATTCACCTTGACTTTCAATGACACTTGGTTTGTCACTAGCGATTTCTTTGAGCATTTGAAGAATCAAAATCCGATGATTAGAGAAATCTGGTCTTGGATTAGCTTCATTTGATTGATTCAATCGAGGCCAAAATCTATATGCTTCGATACTTTTATCGGCTATAATATAGCTTTGAACATCAGAATAATGTTTAGAGATGATTGACCAAAATGTTGTTCGATCTTGTGATTGAAACAAACGACCATAATCTTGAATGATCTTTTGAACTGGTTGCCAAAGTGGTTGAAAGTTGTAATAAAGTGTTCCAAGTAAATAATGAATTGGAACAAATTTGTATTTTTGTCCAGAAAGAGCTTCACATGGAAGCGATTTATCAACAAGACCATGTTGAAGAATGTTGATTAAACGAAGTTTTTCTCGATATTCTTGAATATTCAGAGTAATCATTTCAGCTTCCAAACAGATAGAAAAGATCGATTGATTAGGTAGACCAGATTCACTTGGATTCATTGGTGGATCAAACAGGTTGATGGCGATCAAAGTCAAGAAGCGAACTTGACTTTGTGGATGTCGTAAATTGTCTTGAAGATGATTGAAAAATAAATTCTCGAAAAACTCTCGATTAAAAACATCTTTAGAATCGATAGAGTGAGCATATTGATAGAAGAATACAAATCCTTGCAAAATAATCGGATTTCCTGGAAATCTCCTGAAATAAAATGGAAATCAAGATTAGAAGTGAAATTGTAATTGCAAAAAAAAGAGATAAAAAAAAACTTACTCGAAAAGGAGAGTAAAGAAATCATTTTTAAATTCGGTAAACAATTCAGATGCACGAAGTAAACTCAATGCGTAAATCGATTCACTCAAGATCGTTTGGAAGAGTTCATCATCTGATTCTTTTAAACTCTTATTAGCTTTATGATCTTCACTCAACTTAGCCATAAGTTTGTAAATTAAGCTAATCAAACCAGAGATGACTAGGTTACGATCTAATGGTATCAAATGAGGTAATATGTTGACCACTTTGCGAACAAGCAGCCAATCTTCCGGATTAATTAGAACTCGCAACAGTTTGGAAACAAGATTCTTACAACCTTCCTCGGTGGTTACTTTGGATAGATCCAGAGGATAAGCTCGAAGGTTGGTAAAGTTTCCAAAATTGGCAGTGGTTTCTTGGTGGAAATCAATTTGAATAGAAGATCAATGGTGTTGTTGAAATCTTTCATTCTGGTTGATTGATCACTTCCAATTGAAGGACTTTGAATCAATGGATGATAGGATTTTTCCAATAGAGAGGGAGAATATCAGCTTCGAAAAATCGATTGAGAAAGAGACTTTCGGCAAAAGTGTCAAATTGAGCAGCAGTTATGTTGGAATCGAATGTAGTTTTTATCAAACTACGACGAGATTCAGGTTTGATTGAAGAGTAAAGCGTATTTAAAATGGTTGCTGTTAATCGAAGAAGAACATCTAAACAATCTTCAACATCGAACATCGCTTGAAGGGAGGCAATCGTGAAATTGACAATCACTTCACAATCAATGATAAGCTCTCCTCTTTTATGAGATACAAAAAATAGCAGGATGGATGAAACTGGCTTGAAAGCTTGAGGTGATTGGATTGAATCTTCGCACACAGTCAACAGGTTGCTCCAAATGACTTCACATCGCTCCTTGTCAACATAATCGGCAATCATTTTGAACGATAGATCAACACATTGTTTGACATTTTTAGATGTTGCATAATTAGATGAATATGTGACAAGTAGTGACTTGATAAATTGATCAGAGCAACTATGAAGATGACCTGCCACTCCTTTGACAATCTCAAAAAGTAAATAAGAAACGCCAGTGATTATGGATGAATCTTTGTCAACATGATCAAGAATCGATTTGATCACTTCATCTTTACGAGACACTTTGCGAATCAAATATGTTAAACTTTGAGCAGCGAAAGAGCGAATAAAATCAGGCCACTTGTTGGAAAATAACTGGTTGAACATGGTGAAGATCTTGTCGGTGTCAGGGGTCATACGTTTGGACAATATCTTGAAGAGACTAGCAAGTGTCATGAAGATACTTTCAATCACTTTGGGATCCTGAGTAGCCAGAATATTAAGAAGCCCGTTGAGTGTAGCCTCAAAATGTGGATAATAAAGTTCACCAATATCAGTGGCCAGAGCAACAATAAGCTCAAGAGTAGCGTCGTTTGCCAAACTGTCTTCATCTGATAATGAATCAATAAGGACACTTGCCAATTCATCTCGACGATCATGAACTTGGATGATGTTGAAAAATGAATAAGTTCCACCAAGACGCTTCTTGAGAGACGCAAAATCTGCAGTACAATTTAAATCGTCCAACTTTTGTAAGGTGGCATGAAATTTGGATTCAAATTCATCATCAGGACCTGCAGCAGTGTCAACCTTGCGGATCAGATTGATTTTAATTCCAGCAATGTGATCATTGAAAGATTTAAACTAGATAAACAAAAGAAACAATAAATTGTAAACAACAACAACAAGAAAATAAAAGATAAAAAAAACAACAAAATACTTACCGTAAACGTCTTATCAGGACGTTCACCTTTTTTGAGGGCATTTTTACCCATCACCTGTTGATGATTTATCAGTCAAATAAAGAATTAATTATAATTATAATAATTTTGAATAACAATTAATACAAATTAAGACACACTTCCATGTTGAAGAAGGAAAAAATTTAAAGAGACAAAAAACAAAAATGAATCGAAAAATTTTTCCATCAAATGTGCGACACGTGGGTTACCATGGAAACGACCAAATGAGCGCGATTTTCATAAAAAAAATTCGTAAAAAGAAAACTTTTACTCAAAGTCGCTAAATGGACTTGGTGGTGATTCCAAATTGAACCTTTGAATCAACAGGTGTTCGGATTCATTTGCTTCATTGATCATGATTCGTTTTTCACAATATTTAAATTTCTTTAAAAATCGACAAATTCAATGGTTAAAATAGTTAATTTCTTTTAATACACTGTATATTGGAGAGATCATTTTACAGAACAATTTTGTTGATTTTCGAGTTAGTTGATTGATTAATTGTTGATCATCACAATAGTAAGAAAGTCATTTAATCTCAATGTTGATAACCTTTTGTTTTCTGGTTGTCGTTGTGGAAACAATTACAGTTTGTAGTTCCTGAAGACTAGATACTTGTTGGCCACTTCGTCGATTCAATTGAAATTAAAAATATAATTAAGTTTACAATTTTCTTCTTTGCTCTTTATAATTAAATTAGATGTCCTCAGTTCCATTGATTAGCAATTGCTCTGTTTCCATAAGGTGTTCAGTTGATGTTGATTGAGATGCTCGTTTATCAGTAACTGATAGAGAGAGAGAGAGAAAATAAGAAAGAGAAAGAGAGAAATTAGTTAATATAAAAAATTAGTTAATTTGATTTAATTTGTGTTTTTTTTTCTAACAATTAAAGTGGCACAACGGGAATCAGTTAACAATAAATATCTATGTGTATATAAAAAAAGAGGTACAAATATTGTATCATTTGGAGTAAATTTTACAAGTTGTTTGTAAATCGATATTCCTTTCAATTGGTTTTTTCTCAAGAACGTATTTCTGATGACGAGGATGAATGTATCGATGATGATATTTCTCACCTTTGACCATTTCACGTGCACGTATATAAACATGAAGTGAAATTCCGGTTAAGCAAACAGCTAATCCGATTGCATTGAATCTGCTGATTTCATCACGAGAATATTCAATTGCAATGTATAAGGTGAATACTTCCTTGAATATACCAGCAATCGAAAGGGTTAAACTTGAGGTGTATGTTATCAACAGGTATTCACTCAATTCCATGAGAAATGCTAAAAATGAACCAATCAATATGTAAATGAAGGAATAGGTGTTAAAAAAGACGGCAAATCCATCGCTACTGGTCATTAATGGTAAGGCTTCAAAGGTAAAGGTAAATGGTAACAGGGAAAGTATCATCCAAGGTTGAACATGGTACATCATGTCTACGGGATTACTCAGACCTGTAAATGATAATATAAAAAAAGAGAAACAAAAAAAAATCATATTAATGGTCATCATCAAGGTGAGAAAATGTAATGACAATTTTTACCCATATCTTTACGTTGCATCAAAAGTTGAGCCAATGTCCATCTTAATCCACCAAGAAAAGAAGCAATTAAAACCAGGATGAAACCTTTGGAACTAAATTGTGTTGAATGATAAGTAAACATTAAAAGTCCACTGGAAATTAATATAACAACCACCACCAAGGAAATGCGCTATTAAGAGTAATTAAGAAACGAAAATCATAAAATTAGTCTAACAAGTTTGTTTGTTTTGCTTTTTGGTGTCAATAATTGTAACACTTGTGAGCATATTGGAACAGGAAATTATGCAACTTAAATCGTAATATAATGAATTAGCTATTGATTATCATGATATTGAAAGTAAATCAGCAACAATTTAAATGATTGCTAATCAAAATCTCAAGGCTATAAAAGTATAATAAAGACAATAAATAAATAACACTATTGTTTACAATAATAAGGTTTGTAACTCGATTGTGAGTAATAATAAAAATAAAATGTGAAATTGATATATGATTAAAACTGATTGGAAATCTAGTAAATCAACTGAAAACAATCAAAGTTAATTGATTTCTATTAAATTGTACTTTCATGTACTATCGGTATGTTGACACCAAACACTTTCTCATGAGAATGGTAACAAGAAGAGTATCACAAAAGATGATTGGAGATCTTTGTGTTCACTGGGTGAACATTGGAAATGGTCAGTGTGGTCAATACCTTTTTCTCAAGACCAAAAATGATTGCGAATCCAAGGATGAATATAATACAGGTACTTTTTGTCATGGTATAAAGAGAAATGGTAATGTATTCAAAAGACCAATTGGAAAATCCAATGTCCAAAGCACTGGCGAATCCAATTGTGGCTAATTTCTTAATATTGGCAGAGCAGTTAAGTGTTGCTCGGAAATTACCGGTGGCCAGAATCATGATAATACGGCAAATGGCGGATAATAAGAATTTCATAATCATATGGCAAGTGACCACTAAGAATGGAAAATGAAAGCCCTAGAAAGAAAAAGTAAGAAAGAGAGAGAGAGAGAGAGAGAAAACAAAATGTAAACAAAGATTAATGGACATTGGATTTCGAGCTAAAAACTGTATTGACATACCTTTAGGAACCATTTTTGGTAAAATGTGATTCCAATTGAGAAACAATAGTAAAGGATAATCAGTGACAGTGTCCTAATACCCTTAAGACAAACAACTCTATCAATGATCATGGTATCAATGGTCAATCTATTGGTTATTGGTTTTTTGTTTATTCTAAGGTTGGAATATTTTTCTTCTTGGAAAATATAAAGTTAATATTAGTATCTAAACCGTTGGAATGTTATTCTGGCAGCATGATGATGATGATTAGATGAGATGGCAGATGAGGTTTCACTTGAAGACAATTCAAATTAAAGTAAATCAGGTAAAGAGAGTGAGAGAGAGAGAGAAATTCTGTAAATAGAACAAAAAAAACGATCAAAAGGTAAACCAAAACACTAATGTTGCTCCTCTAAAATTGTAACCATGATGATCTGTTGATTGGAAATGTTTATACCAATTGAATTATGGTGATGATGAATTAAGCATTTTGTTGATTCCATAATAAGAAGATGATGATGATGATTAATTTGGTTGTTAATTCACATAAGACAGGTGGTTAACCAAATAGTAAACTCAGAGAGAAAAAAAGAGAAAAACCAGAAAAAAAGAATTTTTTTTTTCTCTTTTGTTTTTCTCTCTCTCTCTATATTATCAACAACACTCACTGGTTTTCACTTTTGTATTTGTGTTACATTTACTGTGGATTTTATTGTTGATGATGTTACCTGTTGTTGATGTTGTTACCTAGGTAAAAATCTAGCAGAAAGAGAGGAAAGAAAGAGAAACACATGAAACAAACAACTTGAAATGATTTGGAAGATGATTGAGTTTGGAAAACGGTTTATCCCCAATTCTCAGGTAACAAACTGTAAACACTATTTTCATGTAACAGCAAGAAAATCACTCTTGTTAGATTAAGTTAACAATCTAATGGCACTAATTAAACACATTGAGAGACGATTGATGATAAGGTTAACAATCAACAATTAAGATGACAATTAATGTGAATTGGTTGGAGAAAAAAGGAGAGAGAAAAACAATTTAGAAACATCATCTCTTCGTGTCAACATCAATTTCCAATTGAAACATTTACAGTTATTTTCTAATGAAAAGAAATCGATCTCTCTCTTTTTCTTGTTCTCTTCCTCTTAATTGTTACAATTAGAATCAAATCTCAATAATTGATTTTACTAACAAACAAAAAAAAAGGTAAACAATTAACTCTAACTAACTGGTTCAACCGGAAATCTTTATCGCTCTTAATTGTGTCAACTGAATTGTTATACAGGGCGATTCAGTTATTTTCCGTTTTCTTTTCGCGATCTCTCAAAAATCTGATTTGGACCATTCGGTCTATGGAAATTTGATCGATATTCGAACTAGGCCATTCAGCGAGCTATGGCCTCGAAGGTCATTTCGAGCCTGGACCAAATCGTCCAAGTGTTTTTGATGAAAAATCGCCAAAAAATTGGCAAAAAGTATCTGAATTGCTCTGTATAAGTTAAGTGAAAGTTGATCAATGATAAATTGTAAATTAAATTATTACGAAAAATTTATCAACAATTAACCTTGAAAAGTTTGGGTTACAACTGATTATTTAGTGTAACCTTGACTGTTGCTGGAAATGAATATAAACAAATGTCAATTTAAAAATATTACGATAATTAGTTGATTTAGTTTGGTTTAATTAAATTGGGAAAAACTTTCTAAGGTTATCCAAGGACAATTCAAATTGGTGACAAAGTTTTTTATTGTACAGCAATTAGTTGATTAGATTATCTAAATTTGTAATTATCATGGTGAGCATTATAATTTATCAGATTTTAAACAATTAAAATTGATTATAATTTAGTGTTAATCAAAATCGGATTAGTTGGACTTGAAATTCATTTGATTGTAGTTCATTAACCAATCAAAGTTGGATATTTAATTTGATTGTCACACTTTTTTTTTTGTACATTGACAATTACATTCAGAGTTAAATTATTATTGAGCTAATTGTTGATTACTCTTGCTAATCATGATTAGGCATTTAATTGTTGAACAAAAGTCAACTAATCAAGTTGATTGATTTGACATGAAAATCAAATGTTTAATAAAATGAAAAACAAATTGTGATCTCATTGAAAATGAATTAATTTGAATTAAAGTTATTATTTAAGTTTACAGCTTAACAACAATTAAACATTGTCACAATTAAACAACAATTAACATAACTACTCACAATACCCTTGATTGGTTGATAATGATTAACTAATTGCTTTATAACTCATGACAATAACAAACTAAATTGTTGATAATCAAAATCATCTCTAAGATAATAAAATAAAGTTAATCATTTAGATGCTAAAAAGATAGTCCCTATGACAATTAACTTAATTGTAACAATTTAGATGAACACAATCAACTGAATTAATTATAATAACTCTAAATCTCATAATAGTTATTTAAATGATTATTTCAATCAACAAGACAGTTAATTGACAGTTAACTGCTATAATTAGACTATTTAGAAATTAAAATTAATCCAATCAATTAGAAGACAACAATTAACGTCAAAATTTACCGTGTTGATTGTGATCAAATTTTCGTGTTGATTCAATAATTAAACTAATTATAAATGGGAGAAATTAAATCGTTTCAATCATTGGAAGAAAAGAAAAGAAAAATTTCATTTTTCCAACAATTAAGTCTTACAACAATTTGTAGATTCATCTCACAGGTAAAGTTAATTTGCTAAAAAAGTTGATCAAACAATCAACAATTAAGGTCGAAGAAAAAAGTTGCGACTTTTTCAAGGATATTGATCATCATCATCATCATCATCATATTGTTTAAACCTTTTCCATTTCCATGGGAATCTGATATTCAGTTTAATTTCAACTCAATTGAGAATCTAATTAAGCATTTAAACAGTAAAGTCGTCAAATCATCATCATCAACAATTAGTGAACAACTAATCAAAGACTATCATCTTTCATCATCATCAACAACATCGTCATCAACCATTGGTAAAATTAAAGATCACTTTTAAAACTTCTTGATTGTTGATTGTTATTTTTTTCTGTGTTTAAATTGTTTGATTATGGTTCGATATTGGATTAATATTTGTCCCTTTGGACATTTATCTGGACTTTGTTTGGGTTGTGGTCATCGGTTTATGGTGATACACTTTACAGTAAATCTTGTCCAAGTTCATGTTTTACCTCAGTGTTTAGTATCGCCAATGATTCAAGATATGGTGAATGCTCATCTCGGGCTAACTGTTTGGTTCAGGCCACTTTCCGTGTCTCTCAACGTGGCTCATTCGATGAGGCTGTGAATTTAACCATCACAGGTTATGGTGTTCAACATGGTGTTGACCGGTCAATTTCATTTGTCCTTCACAATACTCGTGAACGAATTGAATACTTGTGTAAAGTGGACAAAGGTAAACCGGTCAATGCTTGGGTCATTCAAGGGTCAAATTCAACCTTTCAAACGGGAAGTGCATTTAATACCAGTGGGTCGATCAGTTGTTCTTGGACATTTGGTAAAGACGATTATCTTTGGCCAACTCATGCCAATTATTCAAAGATTAACCTTTTGGATACCCTTAATTATCAGATTTCATTGAAATCCGATATGATCAGTAAAATTGTGGCCTCCGATTTGTCCAAATTACCTCTTTATCGAATGAACTTTCTCCGTTGTTGTTACAAACCCCACGGTGGAACGGGATATCTGTTCATCACCAATCAGACCGCTCATGATACAAACTTTTACCTTCAAGCTTTTCCCCCAATTCCCAAGGCGATAACCGTTACACTGACCAACCCGAAGGGAGGGGAATTCGCGGTCACTTGTAACTCATCTAATGCTTTCAATGCCTCAGTTAGGGTGGGGTCAAGGTGGTCACCAATGAAAGACCTGCGTTTCTATGATATTGTCAAAAGAGAAGCTCCTTTCCCGATTTCCGTTGCCTTTGGTCTCAACCTTTGGTCCTTGTTGAGTCGAGTGGGTCAGTTGACACACGAAACGGCCGATATAACCTGGAAATCTCATCAGACGGTAGGCCAGCTTATCGGGAGTCGACCATAGGTCTACATGGTGCTTCGTACCCACTATTGGCCAGTTTCGCCCTAATTGTAATCTCAATTATCTTTAATCTAATTGTGTGATCCGATTAATTGTCTCCATCGTTATCGGTTCTTACTCATCATCATCAGATTGTTTTAAATGATAGATGATCAAGATGAGAAAATATAAATTACTAATCAACTATTATTTTAGTTAAACAGAGTAATTAACTAATTCTGTCCAATTAATTGTATTATTATTTTGTTACATTTATTGATTTAATTGCCAACCTTTTAATTGTTGATCGCCTGATGTCTTATTGTTTAATTACTTGACGATTCAGGTAATATTAATGTAACCCAATTTAATATACACGATAGTTAATCAACAATAATTAATCATTACACTTTTTTAGTACCAGACAATTTAATCTCATTAATCAACTCAAATCACAATTGATTGTTAATCTTGTTCAATCTAATTGTGATTTAACTTGTTCATCAGTCTATAGATGTCATTACTTTCATCAAAAAGGATAATCAAACTAAATCAATCAAATGATTGTAAATCCTAATAATAAATTCACTAATTGTGATAATTTATATCATTCTAATTGATTAAATGATGATTAGGACATTAAAGTTAATTGTTAACATGAAGATGAGGAAGAAAATGACTGAGATGATAAACCTCATGATTAGAATCATAATTAAGTTAATTGAGTCTAACATTGGAAATTAATTGATCCATGTTATTATTTATCATCAACTGAATTAACTGTTAACATGATTATGATTAAAATTTTAATCACGATCTCTAATTGAAATATTACTCCAATGATTAAACAACAATTAACCGAAAAACTTAATCATCCAACTAATAGATTAACATGATTAACATAAGCACATCTAAAGTATAATATTGGTAACAATTAAAATAAATTGTTCGATTAATATTTTTTCCAATGTTCGATAATTAATCAGATAGATTATCTCAGATTATCGGTCAATCGATCGGAACAGAATAAGAAACGATAATGGAAAATATCAGCTGATACCTTGACCAATCCTCGAGTTTGGACATTTCCTGGTTCTAAAAGTTTCCGTTCGAGGATAAAAAAAGACATTGATGGTTAATTGTTGGAAAGAGTTAATTGATTTGATTATTATTCGTTGATAATTAAATCATTGTATCAATATTTTTATTACAATATAAGTTTTTTTAAGGTTTTCTTTTTGTTTCAACAATTAAATCATTTAGGATTAACATTGGGATAGTGTTAGATAATCTCTAATCTAATTGTACAATTAAAAATTAATTAAAAACAACAAAAAGATTTGTTTTCACTCTTGAGTCTTTTTCTTTATCATCTAATTAATAAGTTAATTGTTAAATCCTTAGTATAAGGTACAGGTTTCATTTGTTTTGTTGAATTTAGATTTTCAATTCTATTAATTGTTTAACAAATTGTCAAAATAACAATTAGTTAATCACTAAAAATGCATTTGGAATAAGATTATATGAGGATAACATGGTAATAATTAGTTTTTTAAGAGTAACAGTAATTAAATTCAATTGATTAATCAACATGCTGATCAAACTGTTTTGTCTTTTCTATTGCTTTGTTAATTTAGTTAGAATTTCGGTTAATTGTATTGATATTGTTTGAGCTAAATCTAATGAGAGACAATTATTGTTAGTTTAAGAGAGTAAATTGAGTTTAAACAAGGAGACAAATTAACAACTGATCAATTCTATGTGGATAATTAACTAATTGATCGAGATTCAGATTGAAATTGTTAATGTTAATCATTGTCACTATGCAGCAATGATTAAGGATTAACCATGAAACTGTAACTAATATGATTTAGAACGTGAATTGATGAGTGAATTAGCTGAATTTGTGATTAAAGCGGAAGATAAATTGATTAAAACGATTCCGTTGATCATTGTTTCATGATAACTAATCAAGAATAATATCTATTGCTACCAAAGAAGCTCTTAAATTACTGGCGATGAATTTTATAAGGTGTTGAGGTGATTAAATATATAAAATGACGAACTAACAGTAATTAGTTAATTTTTTGGAAGATTCATGGATAAATAATTGATGAGGAATGTTTTTCTTTATCCCAAGAATTACTGAGAATCAACAGATTATAGAGATGAGCAGTTGATTATGTGAAAATGACCAGAATAAAGATGATGATGAGGATGAAACACCATTGACATTTGAACGTGAACATGTAAACATTGATTGAAATGCAGACCAAACAAAATTATTGTATCATGAGAATGAGTAAATTGTGTAGGCAGTAAGATGGTCAAGAATTGAAATTATCTAAAACAATTTGGATTACTCATTTCAATCATGTTCATGTTTCCATAGGTGAAAGGGTTATGGTTTCATTTTTACCAATGACCATCGATGAATTATAATGATGATGATGAGGATGAAGGATATAATAAAAACGACTGAAAATAATGTATTGTTATTGGTGAATTTCAATTTCCACTTTGGCCTCCATTTTTTTATTGTTCCTTTGGTTTATCTGGTAAACCTTTTTGAGCCATTTGAGAGCCTGGGGGCTCAACACAATCGAAAGCATCCTGACGAACCAGACGATTCTTTTTCATTGAAGATGAACCATAATTAATAACAGGAAGATGATTGTCAGAAGATTCTTTTGGATAAACATCATATTCTTCCATTTCCTCGAAAGAATGAACCATAATTGGATATATAGAATTTAGAATTTTCCAGAAAATTGTTTTTGTTTTCCAATCAAAGTCAATGTTAGAAACGCTCAATGGATTAAGAGACTTTAGATACAAAAGGAACACCAAACATAAAGGACATCGCGAAAGGTGAAAGGCCAAAGACACCGAGAAGGTCACAAGAAGGAGTCACGAAGCAAAGATGAATCACAGAGACAAGTTGGAGAAAGAGAGACAATCACCACCATAGAAAATGAAAGAGGTGAAAAGTAGATGACATTTTATAGAAGAGAAGAAAAAAGAATAAGATTATTTGTTCTAAAGAGAATTTTGTTTTATTCCAAATTTCTTACCTTTAATGGAGAGAATTAATTTTCGCCCAATTTGAATTGACATCAACCCAAAACGATCAGTAAGATTATCATCTTAGAGAACCAATTAATCAGGTAAATAGATGAAGAGATTAACACAAGAGATGAAGAGTATTGTAGTCAAATGGTAAATCCAATGTTATGAGATGAATAGAAAAAGAAAAAGCAAAAATGTAAATTTCTAAAAAAGAGACAATCAGTTAAATGAATAACCGACAATTAATTGAAATGACTACAATTAAAAGGAGAAGATGGTGAAAAAGGTTAATTAACTTAAATAAGAAAATAAATAAACAAAATTAAGAATTAAAAATAAAGAGGAAAATGTTGTGCGTAACAAACATTAACCAAAGAAAAGAAGGCGAGAAAATAACAGAATCTCTTTCGTTTTCTCTTTCGATTTTTCTTCTCTGTCGAATTTTTCTTTTTCTCTTTTTCTTCTCTTCTTTCTTCTTTCCTCCCTTTTCTCTCTTTCTTTTCTTCTCCTTGTTCACCATATCAACCACCATGGAACATGACAAGTTGTTGGCTCATAATCTTTAATACTTATTCCAAATTCTCATGGTTATCATCAATTTCCCTTGGTGTCTCTTTCTCATCATAACAATTCGTGTCCTTCATCATTTCCGTTTCCGATTCAATATTTTTCCCTCAATGCCAACAAACTCATTAACTATTGGGTGTGTTTACGACCATTGGTCAATCAAATTCATAATCTTCTTAATGTCCATTCATTTGATATTCATCGTATTCATTAATCGTATTCATGGAAAAATTCAATCGATAATTTTTCTTCCGGTTACCTTGATTTCAAAGTTTCAATTTTAATTGTTTGGTAATTACAACGATTAACAATAAGATTAACAGTTAATCGTTGTGATCAATTCCTTGATCATTCAATCAACTTTCTAAATTGCAATTAAGTTAAATTGTATCCAAGGAATTTAAATGTAAACTTTGAATCTTAATTCAGTTCATGATTTAGCTTCTAATTTTCATTGTTTACTCTAAATTTGCAATTACAATTAGTCGTTAATCATCACAATTAACTATTCATCTTTCCTTGATTTCAATTTCTGCTTTTATTTTAAATAGACTAGAAAAAAACAACAAAACTTAATCACAATGATAATGAATACAATTAATAACAATTAAATTCACTATCAATCTTGTTTAGATTGAAATGAAAATGTTCAATTCTTATAATATCAACACTAATGGTTGTCTTTAATTAAATTGATTAGGGAATTGATTTAGTTGACAAAATAAATATAATGAGTCTCGTAAAATCATCATAAGTGTAAATGATTCATTAATTTACAAACTAATTGGTACAAGAAAAAACTTTTGATTAGTTGATAAAGAGTAACAATAATAATAACTGTTAATTGTAGACTATGCAATCAGTTTAGTTTAGTTGAAAACAAAAGTTGCATCATTAAATTCACCGGAAGTAGAAAGGATGAAGATACGGAAGTGGATAGTTGATGTGACGATGTAGTCGAAAGTATCTTACAGAATATTTCTCAGTAACTTTCGCCGAGTTTTCAGTTTAAGAATCGAGTTCCTATTTGGTTTCTTCCATCCGATAGATGGCAGAGTTTCTCCTATTAATTCTCAATTCATTTAGTCAAGTTCTCGATGAGTTTTTTTCAATTCACTCCAAAGTTGAGTAGAAAATGTTTAATAGAATTTGTTTTTTATCGACTAATTAAACTTAGAATTTACGAAACTCATTGAGAAACGATTGGAAAAAAACTTTGCGGTCCATCGGATTGATGAAACCAAATGGGAACTCGATTCTTAGACTGAGAACTCGGCGAAAGTTACTGAGGAGTTTTTTTCGCTCAAGATGAAATCGACTGAGTGATTAACCATTGAGAGGATCAAAATGAGTGTTTCAATGGTCTATGTATCTATTTACTGTTAAATTTGCATCATCATCAAGCAAAATGAAAGTAAAAAGTTTGGAAAAAATTAATGTACGATAACATGATCATGATCGAGGTGAAGATGAGGATGATAAAGATGATGAACAAGTTATGTTAATGTTATGATGGAATGAAAATGAAAACTAATGGTGTGTTTAGTTTACTAGCGAGAGAGAGAGAGAGAGAGAGAGAGAGAGAGAGAGAGAGAGAGAGATGAGGATGGAGAGAGGGAGGTAATGGTTACCACTCGTTATTAGACATGATTGGTTATATGTTCAATGTCAGAATGAGTCCTTGGGGGGAATCGAAATCACGAAAGTGAAGATGATGATGATATAATAAGAATGAGAGAAGATAAATTTTAAGATGTTTATAAAGGATTCTTGAAACTCACTCTCTCCTTCTTGCTACTCAAACAAAGATTTTAAAAGTAAATCATATTACAATTAGTTGTAGAGAATCATTTTTCCAGAACTATTGATGATCGAGAGAGAGAGAAAGTTTCATGTTTCTCATGAAATATTTGTGTTAGAAATGAAATCGAAAGGAAGATGATTCTGTATTTGAAACATTCGATAACGACGAGAGAGTAAAAAAAAAGAAGATGAATGAGAAAGTGTAAAAATAAAGTTAATTTTCTAATCGAACGTGAACTTATCTCATGTTTGGAACAAGAAAATGTATCGAAATAGAAAAAGAATTGTCTTCATTTTTCAAGAAAATGTAGAAAAAGAAAAAGAATTAATAATAATGATGATACAGGGAGAGACTTTAAAGATTTAGTAATAGTAAATTTATCAGGCTAACCCTGTACATTGGATTTTTCGTCTGCATGATCATCATCATGTTCCTTGGAGTGAGCTCAATGGAAAAATGTTTATAGTAGTTGTATTATATTCAGTGAGAGTTCTGAACATGCTGAGTTACAGTACGAACAAAGTTCTAGCATCAATCTCATCACCTTCATCTCTTTCTCTTGTATCATTACCCTGAAAGTTTTTCTTAGTTGAGTAGTAAAAAGATAAACTTAAAATTCATTGTGAAGAAAATTAAACAAGTTCAATAATCATGTTAAATTATCTTCGATAATTGTGATTAATCTTGTGAGTAGTTTCAACTACTTTTCTAGTTGAAAATAAGTGAAATGAATAGTTATCACCATCGTCATTAATATTTTCATCACGTTATTGTGACCAAAGGATATTTATTAAACATCATTTACAAGTAAGTTTGATCATCACAAAGTTGAGATTAATGATAAGTTATCACTTATTCAATTAGTTGACATTTCTATTGCAATTTCATCATTATCAGCATTAAAGGGCATCTTAATTATTCAATCAAATGGAAAATATTCCGTATTGACCATTTCAATTTCAATCGAAAACGCAAACTTGAGACTTTGAGAGTTTCAGAGTTTCTTGGCTTCGAACTCATTATCTTTCATTATTTTTTCAGTAGTTTCGTCATTTGTATCTTCATTATGAATCTTCATCACAAAATCTGATGAGAGCAATCAGAGCAGCGAAAAAAGTTTCCAATGATAAAGTGAAATGATAAAATCAATTGATGTAATTTTTTCTCATCCTTTTATTGGCCTCATCATTTTCCAAGGTATTAGTTGTCTTTCATTCACTTACAAAAGGATGATAAAGTCAAGATTAAGACGAATAAGATAAAGATGATGAAAGATGAGCAGAGAGAGAGAGAGAGAGAGAGAGAGAGAGAGATGCAATCAAGTCAAAGAGAGAAGAAAAAGGAAACCGAAAGAAAAGAAAAATTCGAGCATTTGAACATTCTTGTTCGATAGTTTCGATTCGTTTCGATAGTCTTCTCATTCATATATAATGAGAAAAACAATTCGGATGGATAAAGATAAAGATGCAATCATCATCATATTATCATGATAAAAGATGATAATATGATAACATGTTAGAGAGAAGGAGAAAATTTTCTTATGTTTTCGATTGTTACCATTTTTTTATCATCATTTCGAAGAGATGATATTTATATGAAAAGATTCGATGAGATGATAATATAATTCTAAGAATGGATCACAATATATATAACAGATAAGATGAATTCCATGGAAAGATGAGAACTTTTTTGTTCGAGTAAAAATAGCCAATCCAATAAAGAATAGTTAATATTGAGATAATTAGTACCTTCCAATGATTCTGAATCTGAGATAACTATCTCAGATTCTACCTATTCATTGGCCCAAAGATAATGATGAAAATATTATCATGATTCTCATGATGAATTTCAGGTTGATAACCTGAAATACATCTAACATTATCTCAAGATTTTCATACTAAACGTTTTCTCATGCAAACCAATGAATCAATTGTTTCGTTTATTGATCTTGTGTCCAGTTTATTATTTGAATAATTATCTTAATCATCATATCATTTTCCTCACGCTCTCAAGGTTATCAACTTAATTAATGATCTATTACTTGGAATGGTAAAAATTCATTTTAAATCACCAATTATCTTAATCTAGATTAAAAATCACTAATTAATCACCTTAATTCTAATCTTAACTGTCTAACAAGTAGTAAATTGCTTCCTTATCGTTAGTAGATATTCATCTAAAATCAGTTAATTGCCATTTCTAGTCAACAATTAACCAGAAAACTTTGATAACTAGCCAATTAAAAGGCAAACAATTTGAATTAATTTTCCAAATTTCATGTTAATCTTATCATGGATTTAAGTTAATCTTTTACATGATAATTAACTTTGCAAGTTCAAACAGTTAATCAGCCAATCACATATCAAAAGATTAAAAATAAAACAAGAAAAAAAAATAAATTCACAACAATTAGAAAGTTGATTAACTACAAACATTTAATCATAATTGATGCAATAATAAAGATCTTGTCCAATTATCAACTATTTTAGCTATCAAAAGGTTACAATTAACGTTCAATTTAACCTTCTTTGTTTAAATTGACAACAATTAACTTTTTCAAATAAATCAATTTCTCATAACAATGAGACAATCACTGATCCAATGATCTAACAAATTGTTAACAATTAAGCTATCGGTCAATGAGTAAATATTAACACAACGATCTACAATTAATCTTGGGTTAGGTTGATTTTCATAGTTTTTTTATTAATCACAATCAATCAAAATTTATCCTTAATTATACACTTTTACTATCACAGGATTTTGATTGTTAGGAATGAACAGAAAAACGATAAACTTGACAATTTAATTCATGTATAAAGTTTGATGAATGATTAATTTACTTGATCATTACAATAATTTACAATAAGATCTGTATTATTAATTATTGATGTTAATGTTTCAAGTGTTAATTATCAATCAATGAGTGATTAAAAACAGTTAATGATATTAAATATTATGTGACTAATGATGATGATTTAACAACAATTGAAATAATGATAAGGTCCAGTTACAAAATAACTATAAACAAAATGGACAATCAAATTTAATGATTATCACAATTTATATTAAACATACACAGGGACACTTAACTTTTACAGGTAATACTTACCTGAATTCATGTTGTTCAGAGTAGTGAGGGAATTGATTGAAATGAATACAAGTATTATTGGTTAAGTGAATTGGGAAAATTTGTATTCCCATGATTTAGATTGAGACGGAAAATAATGATGATGATGATAAATGTTCAATCTCTGTGTGTTCATGATAATCTGATATTTGAACATCATCTTCATGATTATTATTATCATTATTCAAAAGAGGTGAAAAAAAATAAGAGATTCATGAAAATCCCACCGAGAATTCCGGCTTGAAAGCTCAATATAATTTATCTTAACCAATTTATTATCTTACCTATTTTAATATAAATAAAATAGAAATCAATTGATTATTATCAGGGTGAAACTCAGAATGCTGATCTAAGTTCCAAGTTTTGCATGCTGTTTTTCATGAATAAATTCCCCCTGAATTTTCAATAATATCATTTTCATGAGGTAAAAATGGTCTCAAGGTTAAGTGTTTATCTTATTTAAGCTTGATAATCTTACTTTTATTATCAATTGGTTCTGTGTATCTACTTGTGGATTCACTGGTTCACCGTTACAATGAATTTTTTTCACCTTTGGAACTGAACTTTTCTCTTCTTCATCTCTCTCTCTCTCTCTGATTCATGATTCATGAGGCTCAGAATTTTTCACAACAGAAAATATGTGTAATTACTGATATTATTATCGATTACAGTTATTAATTTGAGAGGCGATAAATTTAATATCAATAACAATCGATATGAGATTCGTGAAATATGAAATTCTATCAGAACTTTTCTAAATCTTTTCGGTTAAACTATGTTCGAATTTTTATCTCTTTTCTTCATTTCTTTTTCCATGGTGAATAATAATTTGTTAATCTGAAAGAATAGCGAAAAAATTTGATATTATCTACGATAGATATTCATTAACATGAGTGGAAAATAAAAATTCTTCAGACGATAGAAAAAGTTCATTTTCTTCTCAACTTTTTACACAAATTCTCAGGTGAGATACAACATGATTGAGAACTTGATCTTGGATACACCAGTGAGAATAAAATAAAGAATGGAAAGAAATTATCAACAAAAAACTTTTCTCCCAAAGAACAAAATTCAGAATAGAAAATGTTACAACAATTGCAAAGGAAAATGAATAGAGAACAACATGATAAATCATCTTCCGGTTCCTCTTTCACCCTCTTCCCATGACACCTTAACAATTATAACGGTAAAACCTTCGGATCATCAATATTGAATCATCACAATTTAAGAATTGAAAATGAATTAACTTTCCCACCCAGTGGAAGGTGGTAAATGAACCCACTCTTGATCTCACCATTTATCACCATTAATAAACAATTAACATCAATTACACTTGATCATGAATAATTGTAAGAATCGTTTTCATGATTAAGTTATGATCAACACTCAGTTTAAATTAAATCAATAATCAATTGTGTTTGCAAGTCTAACTATTGATTTAAATGTTGAACAATACAAAATCTTAATGATTGTGATGATAATTATACTATTGATTGGATAATTAAATTGGTTGAGACTTAGATGAGTTGAAGAAAGAAACAAATTAGCAACAATTTAATCAGATCGATGATTAATTTAGTTGATTGTTAATCATTTGCTAAACAATTTAAGCTTCACGTTTAATTAACTAACTATTATTTTCATTTGGTTTTCCTTTGGTAATCAGTTTGTGATTAGCATAAATTGTTGACTTGATTTTCTTAATATCCTTGCAGACATTTAATTTACTTTTCCTCATTTAATCATCCAACCTTAATCATTGTCTCTTTAATTGTATTTAAATTGTTACGATTAACCCAAATTCAATCAGTTGTATTACCTACAATTTGAACTTGAATAATTGTGACCATTTACAATATTACATTTAATTGGTTTCTCCATGTTAATTTGATTTTGAAATTATTTGTTTCTTAATTGTCAACTGATTGTGAGATAATTTTATTAATTAACAATTAATTAAATTTCATTATCAGGTTTTTATATATATATTTAATTGATTATATGTATTTCCATGTGATTGACTAAAAATAATTTAATTTTATTGGTTAATTCAGTTATACAACTTTACTGTCAATTGTAATTAAGTGTATCACTAATCATGTCTCTCCTTGTGATCAATTGATTAATTACACTGATTGATTAATTTTTTTTTATCTCATAGCAATTAAGATTGAGGAGCAAAAAAAAAAGTTAATTATGTGACAAAATACACATTCCATGATCAACAATTAACAACAATCAACTGATTACTATTGAGTTTTGTTAAACTTTGTGAGTTTCTGTTTTAATCAAATCAACACTAACCATGGATATTAAATTAAATTAACCAACAATTAACGACAATAGGCAAAGTTAAAGTGAAAGTATTAATCAACAAGATAATCTATCATCAGTGTATCACCTTAATTGTGAACAATTTAAAAGGGAAACCAGATTAACCTCTAGATTAATTAAAGTGATGACGGAACAAGATTCATCCCCTAACAACATGACCAATGTGATTGACCCTTACACACTGGACAATGCAACATTGTCCATCTTATGTGCCATGGCTCATGAAAGTAAATCACCAATGATAAAGTTTAACCAACAATTAACTTAATTGTCTAAAATCTTGATTCTTTTCTACTTGATTAGATTACACCAAATGTTATCTGGAAGATGAGATTAACTCTGCTATTTATCCTCGTCCATATGAATGGGTCTTCATCACTTTACATACCTTAGTTTTCATCATTGGATTAACAGGTAATGCGTTAATTTGTCTATTCGTTTACCGTAATCGACATTTACGAAATGTGACCAACTATTTCATCGTCAATTTGGCCGTTGCCGATTTCCTGGTCATCTTGATCTGCCTCCCACCGACTGTCCTTTGGGATATAACCAATACCTGGTTCCTTGGTGATCTAATGTGTAAACTTGTCGTCTATTTTCAGGTAAGAAATATAAACACATTTAATCAAATTAATTCATTGATTTGCTGATTTTTCGTTTATCAACTAAATTGATTAACTGATTCTCTTGGTACTTAATTTTATTCATTGAATCTCCTCGGTTACCATTCAGTTATTTTATCTTTTCTCTTTTCGCTTACAAACTGGCCTCAAGTTCAAGAAAATATCTCCACTGTTCAGTAATATTATGTATCTTTTATTATCTTAGAATTTTGTAAGAAAAACTTTTTCTTTCTTCCTCAAGGATAAATTATCGAGTTTATTCAGTAAAAGAAAATCAGTTAGAACTTTTTGTCTTTTCATCGAATTTTTTTCCTCTTATTTCTTTATTTTTTCTTCTTCTTCAAGATTATCGATGTTTAGATGTTATTACAAATCAATATTTCTTTTTATTTCACTTTGAATTTTGAGAAGAAGGGAAAATAAACTTGTTCTCCTTTAATTCTCATTTGAAACTTTTCGAGACTTTTTTAAATCATTCCAAGTATTAGATGAAAAAACAAAGTAATCATCATGATTGTCTTTCCATGATGATTGCCTTCATCTCGGAAGTCATGATAATATTAATGATCAAATAAACGATCTGTTTTTCTTCACTCAGCTTTAACTTCACCCCCATTAACATTCTGGTCATGATGATGATGATGATGATCGTCATCACCATCATCATCTCTTTGCAAATTAACTGTGTATCTTTTCATGAAGATACTGAACCGGAGACAGAATCTGAATAAGCAAATAGATTAATAGATTGACCATTAGATTTGTTGGTCATCGTTATCGTTTGTAAATTAACCTTTTTACTAAGTATTGGGTAACATGATTAACTGATGATTTATTCAACAGAAATCAGACTGATGAGGAGAAATAAATATCTCCATTAATATCAACAGGGTGATGTGAAATTAGGTGGTCATGTTGATGATTCTGTTGATGAAGGTGGTAAAAAAGGTCAAGAGATGATTGGATTACCAAGTAATTTCATGTTTTCCTTAATCAAAGGTTATCTCAAAGATTGGCGATTCATCTTCATCCCGTTTAATAGGTCATGATGAACTATCACCATGATCAGATAATTGATTATCTTCCATGGTAGAAGAGCAAAACTTTTGAAATCTCAGCAATAGGTGAAGAGATAAGATTGACATGGAAGAGAGCGAGATGAAAACCACAAGAAAATGATAACAGAATCAAGAAGAATCAAGAACTTTTTTATTCTGTTTTTTATTTCATCGAGAAGGGGAAATTTTTTCATTTTTCCGCATCTTTAGCTTTCAAAATTCTGAAAATATTATATTGAGTATTCAGATAGTTGAAAATGATCATGATTATTATGATTATAAACCGAAAGATGAATCGTGACAATGTTTGGCTTTGCAAAGAGTAATTCCTGTTGCTTCATGATGGTTACTCATATTTCATGGACTTTTTTTCATCACAACCATTATTTTGAGAATGTTGCTTTAAATTGTTCACATTTTCATGATAATTGTAAACAAAATCTCATTTTACTCGGAACCTTTATTACATTTCACCCTGAATGATGAAAGAAATAGAAAATGAAATCAGAATCTCAAACTTTCGTATTCATATTTCAAGATAAATGTGAATCATGTGAATGACAATCATAATATTTTAACATTGATTTCAGATTTACTGGTTGTGTCAATCAATTCCTATGAGTTGGTGATTATCATGATCCCAAAGTGGAAAAATGAAATTACCGTTATTACTATTCTAATGCATGGAGAGAGTTTAATTTGTCAAGAAAAATAATCCACGATAATCAGTGAGTATTAATCATGAAATAAATTTAGTAGTTCGATGGAGAGAAAAAAAAAGTTTAATTCCCCATGAAATGATATCAATTCATGGCAATTATGAAATTGAGAAATCATGATAATCACTAATTGAGATGATTAGTTGATAGAAACACCTAAAAAACAATTGAAAAAAAGGAAGCAAATCATTTGACAAGTTTAACATAATCACCATTTGCAATCATAATGATAAACAATTGAACACTTGATATCTTTTCATGATAATCATCATTATAATGATAATAATATCATCCTCATCATGAGCATCATTAAACGATTGAACAATTTGCTCCAAGTCTCTTTGGAACCGGAAAAACTAGGCTAATCTGATTTATCTCTCCATCCTCATCCCTCCAGAACAACATTTCTTTGTCCATATTACATTTCATCTTCATCCTTTTTTTATCATCATTAACATTATAAATATATCATTTCGTCTTCATCCTCATCCTCCCATTATCTTTGGCCTCTCTCTCTCTCTCTCTCTCTCTCTCTAACTAATAAATCTTTTCTTCATCCTTATCTGTCCATCAACTTTATCATCTTCAATCTCTTAAATTGATTCCAATCTTAATAATCCAACTCTGAAAAAGAACATGAGAAGAAACTGTTCTCATCACTTAAATTTTTTCCAATTTTTTCCCCTTTTTCCTTTGATCATCAAGCTCATCATCTTCAATCATTCTGCTTATTACTCAAGTTTCATTCCTTAGTTCATCATATTATCCCTTCATGATGAATCCTCATGAAAAGAAAAAAATTTCATCAACTATCTCATAGTTTGTAAATTAATAGTTGTATCAATTCATGAGATTGTATTAAATTGATCAAAATTGAAATACCAAAAGAAATGAAACTGTTCAACAAATCAACAACAATCAGTGAGTAAAGTTAATTGTTCAGTTTGACAAGAAAAAGAAAACGATTCAAAATTTTTCATTTGGTCATCATAATTTTCAATGACCAAATGATAAACTAAATGATTGTTGCTGATGTTGAATAAAAAAAGTAATGGTCAGTATCAATGTCCATCTTCATCATCCTTTGACATTCAATTAACTGTCAAGATAAATTTAGTTTCAATTTGATGGATTTAAATTTGCTTGCATCAATCAGTTGATTGCAGATAAATTTGAATACTCAGCAATTTTTAAATCTAAATTGTTCAACAATTTAAATTGTTTGTCTTTAATTTCTTAGTTGAATGATTGCCAAGATAATTATATCTGAATCAACACTTTAATTATCATATAATCACCATAGGGAATACATTTAGTAATCAAGATAATCAACTGATCATGATGGTAGCTAACAGATTCTGAAATTACGTTACAATTATGTTTTTTTAATCTCACAATTAACTCTTGATTTGAAGCCATTTTTAATTACAATTATCTTTATTATCCCTTCATTATTTTATTCAATGTTAGTTAATTAAACTAATTACGACGCTTGTCCAGCGGAAAATTATTATTTCTGACCAGTAGTTTGTTAATTAACTGATTGAAAACTTAACAAACTACTACTGGTGATGTTATAATCAAATGATAATTAACTTGTAAAAACTAAATCAATTTAATTGGTTGGTCTCTTTGATTAAGAAGATATGTAAAAATCATTAACTCAAGGTTGACAAAAGTTAATTGTTAAACTAATCAAAAAGCTTGGTCAAATTGATTAACTGTTAACATTATTCATTAACAATTGAATCAAATGTTTTTGATTAAGTTATTTCAATCATCATCCTTGAATTGTAACTAATTAACTGATTGTTACTTTATCAATCAATAGCCCTCAGAATGTGATCCAGTTGATTTATCATGAGCGTTTTAATCAATCAACTTAGATTGTCAATCATTGACTTTTTAATTTAATTTCTCAGTAGATTCACACTCAGGAATCATTGTTATCATGACAATGTCCAGTTCTTGAGATGATCAAATGGTGAAGGTCAAAAGGTTATGAAAAAAATTCCAATTTTATCGTTTTCTTTTCAACTTCTTTCAAGAATTTCAATTCCCATCTAATTCATTTGTTATCGGAAATATTATCATGAAATTTAGACGACAATTTATTTTATCTTTAATCAATGATTATCAATTCTCTATTGATTTGATTGGTATAAGTGATTTAGTTTGACAATTGAATTGAATTGTGAAAATATGATATAAATAATCAGTTAATTCAGTTGGACAATTTTCATATTTTACATGGAAACTTTCATAGAAATGTCAACCATGGAATGAGAAATGTTCATTGTCTATGTTGGTTATATTTTATTTTGTCACTGTTGCTTTTCATATATATAAAAAAATGTCAAGAATCGAATCGGAAACGGAAATGATGAGGGGAAAAAAGAGCAGAAGAAAAAAACTTCCACATCACTTTCATATTGTTATAAGTTATTATCATTTATTATGATCAGATATTATTTGATGGTGATGATCAAGGCAATCAGGAAATTAGGATTGTTATCATTAAATTGTTAGTTCATTAATTTATTCATTATATTATATCCAAAGTTATTAGTTTGCTGTTGGTGTTGTTTGATTGTCTTCAGGCAATGATAATGTTTTTAGTTCAATGTTATGAAAGTTTAGTATCATTTGAGAATGACAATCATGTAATGGTCAATTTGATCAGAATGACCAATAAGATGGTGATCAAGCTGATGAATGACAAAAGTGCTTATCTAATAAATATTATCCACAACTACAAATGGAGTGTGAGACTTTTTTTCAGTATATTTAATATCACCAATAAGGGTTGATGAAAAACTAATACAATGATGATAATAATAATTCAAGATAAACAATTGAAGTTGGTTGAATAAAAAGAAATTTCAACAGCAAAACAAATAACATGCAATGAAATTAAGGATGAGGATGCTAATACAAGAGAGAGAGAGAGAGAGAGAGAGAGAGAGAGAGAGATGTGATCCAAAACAAAAGAGGATAAGGAAACAGATGAAGAAGATGATAAAAATAGAGATTTAATTCATGTGGTGATAGCTACAAATTGGGATGATGTAAGTTGGGAGTTGGAGGAAAAGTGAGAGAGAGAGAGAAAGATGAGAAATGTATTGAAAATGGAAAAAGGCAGAGTAGAGATGCTGATGATGAAGATAAGATGAAATGAAAGATGAAAAACAGATAAACTTGA